GTTCTACTCCTGTTGCTTATCTTCTTCCCCGTAAAAGATAACCAGAACAAAGGCTTTTACATTTCTCTATTTTATCTTTTTCTTAAAGGGGCAAGATCATGTTTGTCTTTCTTAAGCTATGCATAAACATCATCAACTCATCCTAACATTATGAGAAATAACTCATATACTCTGGAGGGACTCCAAGACGTTTCATTCCTGGACGTATTCAAGAGCCACAGACATGGTCCTGGACAACTGGCTCTAGGTGGCCCTGCTTCAGCAGGGGCATTGGACAGATGACCTCCAGAGGTCCCTTCCAATCTCAACCATTCTGTGATTCTATGAGTCTTCACGGTTTTCAGCAATATTTCCAACTAGACTGCAGAGGACTTAGTTATTTACTGATTTATTTATTGATTACTCCCCCTTCCAAATTAAGAAACAAATGAGTACTTTTTTCCTATTGGTTATAGCTAGATACCATTATTTCTGCAATTCCCTCTAAGTGGCTTGGATTGGTTACCAAATAGCTTTGGTTAATGTGAACTTACTATGGTTTTCTAACCTTAGAATGTCCATTGAGTTCAAAGCATGATAAATTTGTTTCTTCCCCTCTGATTTGTACCATACACCTGGCCTTAACAGGGATTCAACCATTACTAACAAAATGTTGGTTCTCTCTGTTGAAAGGCTATATGTAATTTGAAAAAGTACCTGTCCCACAGTAGAACACATTAAGTGGCATCAAATGCTGCTACCATGTGTAAATTGAAACATCCAATATGCATACATTTTCATCATGCACTCTAATCCTTAATGGTTCATAAGAAAGATGTAAAGTTGTTCACAAGGCAGGAAGACTTTACACCTACTTTGCAGCAAACTCTTGCTGATTTAGTCCTCATTTTTCCCACTCAAAACACTCATAATTCACTGTTTTGCAACTCTTGTTGCAAAAGAAGATGGGAGATGAAGATAGGTATATTCATGAAAAGGATCCTTAGCTATACAAGATATTTTAATTCTCTTTAAAAGGCAAACAGACTAGAAGGGGAATTACAAGAAAATAATTTGAAACAGCATGGAACTTTTCTTACTTACGATCAGCTGAGGAAGAAAGATGACAGCAATAAAGATGAGAGACCTTGCAATCAAAGAAAATGAAACATGCACAAGGGGAATACAGTATATTCCTGTATGTTGCTTCATAAACCAAAATCACCCCTAAATAGTTGAACTGATAGTTCAAAATCCACTTCAATGACACACAGCTGATTGGAGAAGCAAACAAAACCCAAGTTTCCCACTAGGATAGGCGTCTGAAAAATGGTATACTTAAATCACCAAACTCCAACACACTTAGACCATAATTGTGGCCACATTCTTCTTCATTCTGTTAGAACTCATAAGATACTTCTGAGTGTGAATTCACTTTTTGTTTCTCAGATTTACGGCAGCACAGAATTACATATTATCTTGATGGTGCTTGAGAAGAGGGCTCCAAATATAAGGAAGTTCAGCTTTAATCACTAGAACAACTGAGCATAGGAGAGATCAGATACCCAAGTGCCTGAGCCTCACTTTCAAAAAATGCCTGAAGGCATTTCTAATTTTGTGTGAAGTGCACAGGTTTATCTCAAAACAGATATTTAGACTGCATAGTGCAATAGAAACTAGAGTTCACAAGCTGTGTCAGTTGCATAGCAGAAAATGTAGTCTTGGAAACTCACTACAAGATGCAAAGCTTGTCTATAGAAATGGAAACTAATACCAAGACTTGATGGAAAATTCATTTAACTTGAAATATCTAATTTTATGTGGCACTCTTCCCTGTTAAAAATACTTAAGAATGAAATAAGATGGTGCTGTAAAAAGACATTGATAGTATGTTTTGATCATTCGTGTACTCAACTATTTGTTGAGCCTGGTGCCTGTCCCACACTGCTTCAAAAGAAGATTGGTATCAAATGTAGCATTAGACTCATAGACTTTACAGATGTGCTTATAGAATCAAAAGCACTGACTACTCTGCCCAAAACAAGCACTAACACTGAAGAAGGTAGCTACAGGACCTTGTCATGGCTTTCGTAAAATTCACCACGTGGGATGCTTTTGTGGGTACAGCACAAAGGGAGTTTCACATGTCTTATACTTTTAAAGTTCTATTCATTTAAATTCTCTAGGATATTTTCTATGTGAAATTTGTATTCTACCTTCAGGAGAATAATAAAACCCCATTTATTTTCAAAATTATACCTTTTTTCCCAAAATTTTTTAATTTTGAATTTTTATATCATCCTAACATGTAAGAAATCACAGCACAGAACAGATTTATTTCCTGAAATGATACGAAAGTCCAGAATGCAAAAACTGGAAACAAGGACATGCAGCTCAGAATTATTCTGATGCAAGTGTTTAAATGATAGAACCAAAAAGGCTAAAGTGCAAATTGAGTAACAACTATGAAAGAACAAAAAAAGCCACAAGAAAAGATACTATAAATACACCAGGAAAGGAGGACAGAGTAAAATACACAACTATTCCATCAAAAAGAAGGAAAGCAGATAATAGATGATACAAAGAAACCCTAATGTTCAATACTTTCACTGCTTCAGTCTTTACAAAATAATTAATCATGGTCAGATCCTTAACGCTAGTGATTTTAAGAGGAAAAACTGCCAGACAATGGAAAGCTAGAAGATATATTCTGATGACTTGGATACATTCAAGTTGGCAGAATCTTGTGAAATTCACTCTAGAGCACTTAACTAACCAGCAGAAGAAATCTCTAATTCCTTAGCAACTGTCTTTCAGGAATAGACAGAAAAGGGCAAATACCATGTCTTTCTTCAGAAAAGAAAAAGGGAAGACATGGGGAATTACTAATGAGCAATCTTTAATCTGACAAAATTGTCATACATACAAAATAAACAATTTATCAACATCTACTGGATAGGAAAAGTTATAAGAGCCAATGGATATGAATTTATCAAGAATGAATCACATCAAATCAGTAGTCTAAATCCTTTCACAACTGGGAAACTTGTCAAGTGGATAAGAGGAGGAAGTAGATGTAAAACACTTCAGCTGTAAGAAGACTTTGTTTACTGAGCTAGATGATACTCCAGTAAACAAATTAGAGAATTACAGTCTAGGTGAAATCACTGCAAGGTAGAAAAACATCTGGTAGAAAAAAAACCACACTTACTGAGTAGCTTTCAAAGGCTGGTTGTCAGATCTGAAATGGAATCATGAAGAGGTGTGACAATATTTCCATTAATGATCTGGATGAAGAAATAGAGAGCACATTCATCAAACTGAACTTAGTATCAGGTTGTAAGTGGATTTAAAGCACTCTGGAGGATAGGATTAAAATTCTGTATTATTTTGATAAATCATCAGAAAATATCAAGTACTAGCAAGAAATAGTGAAGGATGTCTTATTTGTGAAATACCTCTACGAAAACCTGACTCTGACAACATTGACCAGGTACATTCACCTCCAGTCCAAGTGTAGGACCCAGAAGAGCTGCAGTGTTTTGCACTCCAGTTAGAAAACTCTGTGCAAAGAGAGATACAGAATGCTGCAAACTGTATTTTAGGTATAAGGAAGCCAGAGCTCAGTGGAACCTACACAATAGTCACAAGGAAAGACAAAGATTGAAGAGTGGATTTAGTCCTTTATTATTGAACTCTCACATCTGATTGTTTTGTATATCCAGACAGTGAACAAATAACCTTTTCTGAATTATTTTTTTAAAGTTTCTGTATCTGTGTTAAGCTTGGTTATGAGTCCCTAATGGAGAAAGGCCTGAAAACAGCACTTGCACCCATCACAGTAATGCAGTCAGGCAATGGTGGGGCTGCAAATCAGAGACCCTGGCTGGAGTTGGTTTGGATTCTTAGAGGTAGAGAGAACAACTTACTAGAAATGTATTTGAAAAGAGCCCCGTAACTATACTACTGTAATTAATATAAATATGAAAATTTCTCTGAATAGAATCATTGTGATCAACCTAAAACATTTGGGAGAGACGGATTTTGAGCAAACTAATTTTGGGTATTTGACACAATTTGGAAAAATGCAGGATCTCAGACTTCTCCATAGAACAAATCTTCCATTCTTCATTCAGGTCTGTTTCTGACCTCACTATCTGTAATTTCTCCAGTGAATTGAGAAGTGCCATGTATAAAACTTAATGAGAGAAGAAAGAAAATACTTCTCATTCAAATGTCTCCAAGACCACACCATACTTAGTTTCTATGTACCATGGCAGAGAGTACTTCTCATACTTTGATAACTGTTAGCAGTGTTTGCTCCCACCAATGTACTTCTGAACTTTCCTACACGGATGGAAAAAAAAAAAACCACAAATGAAAACCAAAATATTCCTCATCGCCTCATCATATCCAGTAATTCTCAGAGCTACTCCTTACCTGAGCATGCCATTTTTAAACACTGCTTCTGTTTGACTGTCTTTTAAGGGGTAATACTTGGGTTTTGTCATGAAATAATTGGCTACCATGTTTTTGAGTACTTATTTGAGATGTGTAAAATATTTATTTGAATTGCTTTTGAAAACTGGAAGGAATTAATTGGAGTTAAGAATAAAAAACACCTAATTGTTTTTCAGTGACAGGTCTGATCTCCATCAATGAAGGGTTCACAAAGGTTAATCCAAACTAACTGCTACCACCCAAAGCCATCTCACTGCTGCACGTTCCCACCATTTTCCTTAAACTAGCCTCTTATGTTGATCTCTTTATGAGCTAATTCAGCTCACTAAACTGGCAGAAAACTAACATAAAGAAAAAAAGGAGGCACAGTGGAAGTAGTTTCAGTCAGCATGAAAGCTGCTAAATTATCTCAGATATTCTGTAAACCTCAACAGGAATGTAACTGCTGATATCAATGAACTTGGTCTTCATTGACTAGAAGACCACCTTCTTGATATTTACTTCCAAATTACAGTTCAGGCTGCATGGTCACATTAGAAAACTAAAATCAATCAACTTACTGCGAGACAGATTCTCAAGGGCTTTTCCAAGTTTTTTGCTCTCTTGAAGAATATGATTTAGTTCATCAAAATCATGGTTCTCCGGTTTTGTCTTCCAATCCCATTTAGGATGCTCTATTGACCTTGGCACTAAATATACACAGATATAACGATGAAGTTTAGATTTGGTAGTTCAGACTCCTACAGTAGAAAAAAAGCTGCATAATGAGTACCTTGAGTGGAAATTACTTAACGATCCTCCTATTTTAACAGTTGGAAATACTTTCTTTGGTCAATGTGAAGTAAAAATGAAAACATCTACAAACAAATGCATACTTGGGATGCTTCTTGCAACTGAATTAACTGGTAAACAGGAATGATTGATATTAATAATTAAATATAATAAAAATAATGCAAAACCAGAAAAAGTAATAAAAATATATTGCATGTGAAGGTACTTCAATACATCAAAATAGAACTGTGTCCTAGGGGCCAATAAGGAAAATGTCAGAATGAAAATGAGTAACTGTTAATTTTGGCTTTGCTAGTCATTTTATCAAAAAGCAAAAAGACATATTTTAGACAAAGCTTTTAAAACAACATGTATATACAATTTTTTAAAAAAATCACAAAGTGTAGATAACACAGTTCATAAAAACAGTGAAACAAAATATGCCTCTCATGTTCATGCTGTACAGTCTATCATTTTTATTCCAGTACTCAAGCTAAACAAACCCAACTTTCAGGTAGCACAGTCCTGAGTTTACAGTCTTCTACTCATTATCTATTACCAAACCATTTAATTTAAACTTAAAGTATCAGTTTCCCAACTGCTGAGATAACTTTACCTAAAATGGCAGGGAAGAAAATAAGGAGTTTCTGAGATATGTAGGAGCCACAATAAACAGAGCTGCATTGACCAATATGAACATTTTGAGCAATTTGTAGAAATTAAAACAAAAATTATGAAAATTATCTCTAGAACTGCAGTTTAACATGTTTTTCTTGCCAGTGTTCTGAACCAAGTGATCTGCTGACTTCACCACCAAATGCAATTGTTGGGTTGTCTCCAAACAGAGCATTACTGTACTGAGAACTGCATGTGCTGTTGTGAAGGTGATGATGCCTAGTCCATATTCCCAACAGAAAGGACCAGTTATCAATGGTTGCTAACCACTCACTTAAAAATAACTTCAAAAGCAGCACCGATAACGTCCAATATAACCTGGCCAGCTTTGAATTTTTTATTTACTATTTTGACAGCTGTCAACTAATATATGTTCACAAACTTCACTTTCATTACATGCTAAGAAGGAAACTTGCAGACTCCCACAGATTGTACAGAAACAGTAGTATCTTATGATCATTTGGAATTTCAGAGTGCTTTTACGATGGTATAGGGAAAGTATGTTTAACCTTCATGTTCTGGTAGCTATTACAAAATCTGTTAAATAACTGTTGCCATTAAAATTTGCCTTATTGCTGACTGCCCTCTGTGTGACCATAGAATCTGCTCCACTTCCAGTCAACTCCACAGGGAAAGTTGCCTTCTTTTCCAGCCAAAGAAATGGGACAATGGTATGTTTAAGTGCTTCTGTCAAAAAGAGCATTATTCCATCTCCCATAGACATAAAACAAGCCATCTTCAAACCGAACATCTATACAGAGCCTGACAACCCAGAGAATATTCTGATCTATAGCACCCACTCAGGAATCTGGGGAAGTATTGGTGAAGTTAATACACTGGATTGCAATTACAGACGTTCTCAAAGACAGAAGACAAATGAGACATTAAAAAGGACCTACAGAGATAAGACTAGGAGGAAAGTGAGACAGGAAGCCTCAATAAGGAGAAGGGAAAGGTCAAGTTGGAGTGTCAGAGTCCAGTTCTCTTTTGAGTTCAAAAAGGACAATGGAAATAATGGACAATGTTTTGTGTTCCTTCTGAGGACAATGGAAATAAGAAGTTATGGTCATTTCTAGTGAATAGGTACAGGCTTTTTCCTTATTTACAGAAAACAATATGTTCTATCTAGTATTTTTTTCTAAACTTTTACTAACTGTAAATATAAATATTTATTAAACTAGAAAAGAAATTCTATAATGAGGTCTCTCTGTTTTCACTCACCTTTATTTTGTATTGAGAACACATGCCCCTTTACTACCTAATTTTTCAGCCATCTCATCTTCCCTTCAGTGTACTAACAGTAGATTCTACATCATCAGTTTGACAGACTTTTCCTTCTATGTTTATACTGAACTCACTACAACCACAGAAATCTCACAGTACCACCAAAATACAAACAGGCAATAATTTAATATATTAACACCATGTACAAAGATGACCAAACCTTAGAGCTTCCAGGTTGCAGAAAAATTCAACAAGCTAGAATTTTCTATCATGTCAATTTGAAACAAACCACATTTTTCAAAATACCAAAACCCAGAATTTTAATTTTGAAATAAAATTTGTCATGAGACAGAAACTGAATGAAACAAACATAAGTTCTACTCAACAGCTGTGGAGCTTTCAGGATCAGCAACTGCCAAGTACATGGACCAACCTGCATCAGGAAAATGAGACTATCAAGACTCTATCCCTAGAAAGTATGGAAACTTGCTGAAGAGACAATGGTCTGGTCCCTAGTTTCAGAAAAGTGTCCCACAAACACAGGAAGCTAAAACTGCATCTTACTACATGAATGGTGGGAAACCAGACAAAAAAAAACGGTGGAAATTTGCTCTCTATGCTGGTGTACTATATATAGTCTGTGTTTCAATGAACCATTTTGTACTTCAGTGAAAGTGTATCAAAACAGATATGCTGTCAGAGAACGTTTTTGAGCTTCAATAGAATTTGTTTCAACAATGAGTTTGGCTTATTCTGTTGAACAAAAACTGAGGAGGAAGTTAAGCAGAATCAGAATTGACTGAAATTTTTATTACTTCTAGAGTAGACATAGTTCTTACTTACCCATGCTTCCAACTAATGAATGGATACTAAAACTAAAATCTACCTGATTACACCATGTGTCATGTGTTTCTCCTTTCAAGGTTCATATTCTGCTTGCTTACTAATGTTTTTATAATATAAACTTGTCTCTTCCCAACTATAGAATCAACAAGCACCAGTCATTTTCAAACAGATGGCTGATGGCTTTCTGTGAAGTATGCAGAACTGTATAAAGACCACATGATCCCTCCTTGAAACATTTTGATATACATTATTTTCTTCAGTATGTATGAAGTCCATCATATATCATCTCCTTGCATATGTCCTTACACGCTCAGTAAAATCCTTTCATAATGTTCTCATCTTCCTTTTTCTTTATTATACTCACTAATTCATCAAAATCATTGTATCGGTAATTTTAAATCCCCCATCACATTACCTGCCTCAGCCTCATCTCTGTTATCTGAGAGATTTAAATAACATTTCCTCCTGAAATTATCTGCCTACAATTCAGAAGCTTTATTACATCTACATCACAGCTTTTGTAGAGAAATATTTAGGTTTTCCTTTTATGGAGCCAAGATTTCACCCCCCTCATATCTTAGAAAACTGCAAAGGCATGCTTTTCCAGTATTTCTGATTTTCTGGTAGTGCACTCCAACAAACAAACGCACATCAGATTAATACATAGATATTTTATGAATTCTGTCACAAATCAGCAGACCGGTATTTTCTAATAGATGATGGTACAAGCTCAGCACTGTTTTTATCTATATATACATGTCCTTTCAAAGCATGATCTGCAGACAGAATCAGACCAGCTGCTCATTAAATCTTATATTTCATTAATACATCGTATGACCATCTTACATCTCAAAGAACACAAGTATGTGTGTTACCACTGAACGTAAAACTATGTACTTAAATCTCTCAATACCATTCATGTTAGAGTTCTTTAATAATACAGTCAAACTAGTCTACATAGGACCTGGATATTAAAAGGCTAAGAGAACGATGGCCTACAGTCCTAGACTGACCATGGACAATCAGAAGTACACAACATTGTAACTGTAAATGGGATATGGCGAGAATGGTGAACTGAAGCAGACTGAAAAGATGATCTGTGATCTGACTTAATACAGAGGTGGTAAAGAGATCAACCTACTCTGCCTAAGAGTAGCTACCTGAGAAGCAATAAGTCTATTTCACAAACATTAGAAACTTCCAGTTTTTTCATTTTTCAGATACCAAATGTGATAATCTGAACATTTCATTAAATATAATTACATATACATCAGCACGCAAACAGACACACACACACATACACACTAGGAGCCCCTGCTTCAAGCCTCTTCCTTGCCAGACAACAGCAGCTGCTTCTGCTTAATTCTAGTTTCACACACACTAAACAAATGGTCAGACCCCTTAGATACCAGGGTTTCCTTCTTGTGTGTTTGTTTCAGGTGCAACTGAGATCTTAGCAGGTGTAAGGAGGGACTGGACGAATCTTTCCAGTAAAGAAGTTGAATGCATAAGAAAGATATATCTGTGCAGGAATAAGATGCGCACTGCAGTCAACATGAGCTCTGATGAAGGAAAACCCCAACTATTTCCTAATTAAATAAATCCATTCTCCTAATGTTTCCAAAGACTCCTATGAAATACAAATAAGGAACAGGAAAGGTTATAAACAGAAAAGCATGGAATAAGAGGCTGGAAAGGACCTCTGGAAGTCTTCTAGTCCAAGCTACTGTTCAAAATTGGTCCATTGAGAGCAGGTTGCTCAGACTATCCAGATGAGTTTTGAGTGTCTCCCAAGATGGAGATTCCACAGTCTCTTTGGACAACCTGTTCCAGTGTTTGACCACTCTTGCAGTATAATTTTTGTTGCCTCTTGCCCTTTCATTACACACCTTCAAAAAGAATCTCGCTATGTCTTCTCTATCACCCTCCAGTGTAATAGTTGATGGCAACAATGAAATCTTCCCCTAGCTTTAATTTCTTCATGATGAACAAACTGATTTCCTTCAGCCTTTTCTTGTCCGTCATATGCTCTAGCCATACTCTGGTCCTCTCATCATCTTGGTGGACCTCCACTGCACCTTCTCCAGTACATCATTGTCTATCACAACATGCTCCTCTTCCCGCAATTTGGTCTTACCTGCAAACCTAAGCGGACATTCAACCTCACCACCCAGGATGGTAAGAAAGGCTTTTTAAATGGCACTGGTCTCAGTACCAGTCCCTTAAGCATGCCGCTAGTAATAGGCTTTCCAACTGGACTTTGCATTGCCAGTCACAATCCCTTGAATCCAACAGTTGAGCCAACTTTCTACACATCTTCTTGTCTGCTTACCCAGTTCATATCTCACCAATTCAGTTATAAGAATACTATGCGAGACTGACGAAGGTTTTGCTAAATCTAAGGTAATAAACATATACTGCTCTTTCTTTCATTACAGGGGCAGTTATTTCATCTAAGGGGGCAATCAGTTTGTCTGATCAAGCATGATGATCTCATAAATCTACGCTTTCCAGGAAAATTTGCTCAATAACCTTCCCCGAGAGTGAAGTTAGGCTGACCAGCTGGTAGTTTCCAAAGCCTCCTTGCCCTTCCTCAAAATCAGTGTCATGTTTGCCTTTTTCTAGTCCTCAGAAACCTCCCACAATCATCATAACCTTCCAGTGATGATAGAATGGCCTTGTAATGACATTAGTCTCCTCTCTCAACATGCTCAGAATGAATCTCATACAGTGCCATGTATTTACGTCCAATTGCCTCAAGCACACCCTGATTCTATCTTTCTCTATTGTGTGTAAAGCTACACTCCCACAAAATCTGCTGCTAGACTTAGGAACTTGTGCAGCTTGGGAGCAAGCTTTCCCAACTAAAGAGCATTAGATGTCCTTCCGTCCACAAGGACAGATCCTTGAGTCCAGTCTTACTATGGATGTATATATTGTTTCCTTGCTTGACATGTGACCTGGTAGTTTATAGAGTGCCCAGACTCCTCTTTGTCCATCTCCGGGGACAATCTAAGGACCAACAAGCATGAAACTTGTAGTAAGCGCATAAATTAAGGGAGCGAGATGATGCCACACCCCTACCTGGGATAAAGACGGAGAACTTGAGCTCTTTAGGAGACGATATGGAAGTTACCTGATGTGTATCACAGAGTCTGAAGTGCAAGCACAGGGAGGGTGAAGAACACAGTATGATGACAGGAACAGTTCACACACCCTTGGCCACAGAGAAGTTGTGAATGCCCCCTCTCTGGAAGTGTTCAAGGCCAGGTTGGATGGGGCTTTGGGCAACCTGGTCTAGTGGGAGGTGTTCCCGCCCATGGCAGGGGCGTTAGACTGGATGATCTTTAAGGTCTCTTTCAACCCAGACCATTCTATGATTCTATGATTTTAACAGTGTATCTCCATAAAATGCTGTTATCCAAGAAAGACTGTTAGATTAGAGTCAGATTATAAGTGACTATTACCACTTCTCTGAATATCGGTATTTACACTTGAAAGTCAATTAAAATTCACAATTTATAATTTTTTACTTTACCCATTGTTATGCTGTATTTTGACCTACTGAGACCACTGGGAGATTTTTCTTTGACTCCACTGAAGTCTAGACTTCTCCATCTTGCTTTAGCAAGCCTTCTATTGCAGCATACTATGTATTTCTGTTCTTATCTGGTCCACCTATTCATGCTCAGAGTTATTTAAAAGATTTGGCTATTATAAATTGTGTATACACCCTTGTATGTGTGTGTATCTATACACACACGCGCGCAAGCGCGCACACACACACACATATATATAGAAGTATATTGTAGATATATTCATTTGTGTTAAAAATCCATTAAAAATCAAGCTTAAATATTAAACTTCTTCACAAGCCAGTAGACAGGAAGCACTGTGTTTCATTAAGGCTCACTGCCTCTATTTTTACTACTTCTATTTTACAGGTCATTGACAATATTCTCTTCAGTCATTCTACTTCTATTCTTCCTTTACTTTCAGTTTACATTTAGATTCTTTCAGCAACTCTCAGAGCAGTACACTTGTTCTGCTGACACTGCCTCCACATCTTAAACAGTATTTGTTCATAATTCATCGTTTTGCATTGCCTGACCCACTGGAAAAGAATTGTTACTAGGACCAATATCAAGAGAACAAATTTTACACAGGTAAATTGACCATGCAAACTAAACCATCAAATCGTAATCAGTACCTGAGCATAAAATTGTGCACGTCATCCAGATATTCTTCTATATTATTCTATATGAAATAATCATAATTCAAGCAAAAGTAAAGCAATAATCAAACTCTTCTAACACATATACCTAGCCATTTCAACTGCTCATATATTGCTTTCCATTTTAATCCTAATTCAACAGAATAACATACTAAAGGTCTATAAGTATGCATGAATTAATAATGTAGTGAAGCTTTCTTACATGACTTGGACTCCGGTGACGGTGGAGAAATGTTGGACACGGCAAGGTCGCTCTTTGACTTTTTAGGCTTTTTTGCATTTACCTGCCAAGGTTTATCATAACTTCTAAAATCTCTCCTTGTACCTTTATGTTCTGTTAAAAGAACCAAATCAGGGAATGAGAACATTTCTAAGGTCATTTTTCAAAGACTTAATAAACAATTATTCCAGAAAAAACAAGAGCTATCAGTCCAAATCGAAGTCAGTTCTTTCTGTTCTATTTCTGATTTATGCTAAATTTTATGTATTGGTTCCATTTCTTAAATATCAACAATTAGAAACTCAGTATGTTTTTCATTAAAAACATACCTCATTTTTGTTACTAAAAAGTCCTTAACCTTCCTTTACTTTCTTACATGCTTGACTGGCTCTTCTTAAAACTTTATATTTCATATAAATAAAAAGTCGATTTGTCCAGCAACTAACAATTTGACTGTCAGCAGCTATTTGAGATCTACTATAGTCTGAAACAGATAACCAGTCAATTTTTAAATACGCAACCAACATTTTAATAGTAGCTTGCACCAGAATTTCAAAGCTAAAATATCTACTTTAGAATCACAGTAGTTATTTCAGAATTATGTTTTATGCTTCTGAAGATCTACAATCATAAATTATTCACACTGGAGTTCATAAAGTAATAATAGGATCTTCTCATTAAGTGTTGGAATGATGGCTTGTTAAAAATGTGTATTATTAAGAAAATACCTCAGTAGAGGCTAATCTCAGACACAAACACACTGCAGGAGAGAAAAGGAAAACAAAGCAAAGAGAAAGGTAAAGCAAAGAGGACGGCAGGGGAATCAAGGGACCTTTATATGCATCTTCTTTCTGAGATTGGGATTGTTTCCACCCTGTAACTTTGATCCATACTCACACGACATGTACATAGGCTGAGCTGACAGACAACAATGTATATTAAATTCAGTATCTACTGGTGGACACACAGGATTTATTGTGCATGCTCAAGACCACAGAGTAGTATCTGTTCAGTAGGTACGCATGCATCTAGGAATCATGGACAAAAGCGTGGCAAGATTATTCTATAGACACTAGCCCTTTCCAGCATATGGAACATACCTGATGTTTCACTCTCTGCCCAAAGGGCAGCAGAGCCAGACAACGTTCTCTGAAGCTGACTGCGGTTCCCCTGTTTGGACTGAAGATGATCAATTAGAAATGGGATTGGCTGGTCAGGTGTCTCTGTTATCAGCTTGGTCATCAACTCCTTTAGAAAATTAAAACAAAACAAAAAATTAGTGGGATATTGCACCTAAACTAATCCTGTATTTACCAAAAGCAAAGGAGCACTTATAAAGGAAAAGCCTGTTTTCAAACAGTTTTCAACTTTGAAGAAAACAGCTGGAAACACCCATCTCCTCAAACTACTTCTAGCTTTGCCCTATGAAGCGTTCATGTCCGAAGTGCTCTTACCCTATGTTTAATTTACATTAAACAACCCAACACCTGCTACCTACTCAAATTTACCCAAAACAATCTGAATACTGTTTATTTAACCCTTCAGAACAAGTGCCTTTTCAGAGCACTGAATAGCTCTGCTCTGACCCATACATACAAGTTTCTTCTCATTAGAAATTGGTGTATCAGGAAGGCTGGTGCATTTTTCATCTCAGACACGGAACAATGATCTGGTTAGAATAAGTATTCTTATTTGGGAACTCCAACATCTGATCAAACAAGCATTTTTAAATATTCTGGATGACTTGCTGTACTGTATAGATGTGAGCAAACATTTTATTACACTGTTGCAGACCTGGATACAAAACCAATGTCAACAGGAAGCCATCTCCTATGCCATGCATTAATACTATCTGATTACTGTTACACACCCTGGCGTTGCAAGGCTGCAGAAATAGAAGCATTTCCCGCACTGCTGCGGAGATTCTTCCCGGGTCCCTACACATAAAACACAGATTAAGAATCCAGAAAGAAGCTGTGGCTCTGTGCTGGGCATGTGCCCTGAGAGGAAATCAATGACTAATGTGGGAGGTGACCCTGAAATCCACACAGTTCGACAGGAAATTAGTGGCTGCCACTGCAAAACAAAACAGCTTCGTGAAAGTAAAAAAAAAAAATTAAAGGAACGTACAACAAAATCAGGAGAAAAAATGGCTAAGTTATTAAGAGTATCTTTCCCACATATCTTCATTTACTAAAGACTTTTTCAAATACCAGTAGATACTTGGTGTTACCATAAGCTAGTTGTGTTGGAAAAAGACAGTTAAGAGGGAGTATACCAAATATCAGTAAACATGAGTAACAGCATGCATGATTATTAAGACACAGCAAGCTATCTTTGTCCATTCCAAGACTTTCCTTTTTTCTTTTATTCAAGTAGAAGTACATACAATTAGGCATAAGTGAAAATGAGACAGAACCAAGCTATCCATTTCAGAAACAAAAATTTAACTTCAGAAAATAAAAAGGAGAAAGAATGTTCAATCTCATGTATTGTGAAGACATGATCATCTGTGACATGATTTTTTTTTTTTGGGGGGGGGAGGGGGAAAAATGCCTTTGGTTTTGAAAGGGAACTCCACAGGGAGAAATTAAGCTACTTACTAAACTTAGCAATGGTAAAGCTATGGAGCGTAACTTCATCTAGACTGTCTCTCACCAAGGTAGCAGAAACCTTCTGATACACATCATACAAGAAAAATCCAGAAATTGGAGTAATCCGTATTCTGGTTGCTTGGCAACACTCTAACAGGAAATCTTCCTTTTTTTCCCTGCCAAAATGCACAATTAGCGACAAGTGGAAAGATGTAATCTTGTGCTTGTAATGGACCACAATAGCTGTAGGAATTCCACTGCAGAGGATTCTAAAACCAAAGAAAAAAAAGTGTCAATCTGTAACAGCTGACTTGTAATTTAAACCATTTCTCTGAATCATGGTTTGAAAGTGATTTTTTTGTCTTAGATTAGTAAAAACAAAAAGGTGATAAGAACTGAGATACATGCATTGATACTACTAATTTTTTAAAGACATGCATGGGTGGCAATCTATTAATACATTACAAAATTAATGTAGCTTTAAGAAAGATAATATGGAGATGAAAAATGTTAGAATGCCTACAAGTCACTGTAAGACAAATGCTACTTAACTGTTGCCATCACTGACTTGCTTGTCACAGGAAGAAATTATGTTTAACTAACAGAAACAGACCTAACACAATGAAACTGAATATTGGCTTCTTTACCTTATTCTGAGACGTAGCAATAAAACTAAAGAACACAATTGCACAGAGTAAAAAAAAAACCAACAAACACTATTCTGAGGTGATGTGAAATTAGCTCCTATTCAAAAGGACCTCTTTTTTTATCTACTGTTAACATTTCGATAATAAGGTCTGAGTGATATAGAGATCTGTGCTGTCCCAGAGCATAATCAGTTCTATTCTGTGACAGCAAACAGAAAAGTTAAAAGAACTACAGATACAGGCTACTTTTATCTACCCACAGTAACAAAAGTGCTGTACCAATTCTGTACATCTAAATCAAAAAAAAGAAATAACATTGCTGGAAGCCTTATAAATGGAAAATAGCATGCAGTTCAAAAAATACTACTTATTTGTGTAATAAGCCTCAAACTGATTTGCCTCAAGCACTTTCAGAGGTGTCATTAAAAGTAAATACAACTTCAAGGCAACACAAAGATGACACAGATTACAAAGCCTGCCATTCAAGGAGGGGACAGCTCTTTACAAGCATGCCATTGCAAAAGGGGAGTGAAGAAGCTCTTGGCGATTTGCTTCTAAAGCTGCTCCAAGTAAGGTGTGAAAATGGTCTCCAAGTTACCACAGCTGGGTTCCCAAACTCTGCAGAATTTACAACAAACACCTCCAACCCAAACAGTGATCACAATAACGGTGATAAGAGTTTAAGACATATGCTTTGTATAATTCATATGCAGGAGGTGTCATCTCCTTCCTGCACCACATGCTGTCAGAGATCCCAGAAGTAGGATCACAACTCCATTATCCTCACTGCCTTTGCCCTCCTACCAAATTCTGCCACCCAGTCCATCAAGGGACCGAACTCCAACCGCTCAGCTCCCAATTTCTGCTCTTCAAGTTCATGCTTCCTTTGAGACTCCTACCATACCCAGCAAATTAGCAATTACAAGGTTATCTGTTATCTGCCTTCGTTCAGTTGCTTGGCTATGCCATGGGGTGGAGGGGTGGGAATGGGAAGATAAACAAAAAAACCCCACCAAAAACCCCACCAACCAAATCATCTCCCCAAAAAAAAAAGGAAAAAAAAAACTTTGCACAGGCAGTAACTGTACTTAGTGAGCACTCGGCTCATTTTTTTTTTTAAGTATAAACATACACTTTACTGAAGGTGAAAAGACATTACAGATTAGGAATGTCTATTAAGGGTATTCTCATCTTAGCACCATTTCCAAGTAAAATTATCTTAAACTTCTGATGAAATTATCCAAAGTTTACTTGATGCTCTTATCTGTTGCTCAGATGGCATCTTAATAGACATACTACTTGGTACCCTAAATATATTCTTATGAGCTTGAAATGTATAAAAAAAAAGATGACAAAAGTGAAGTTATTAAATAAGAAAAACTAAAGTGTACAACAAGTTACAAAAATAAAATCCTTTTTGGAATGTGCTAAGTAGGCAAGGTTTCACAAGAAAAAAAAAAAGGAAAAAGATCAACTAGTCCTAATGAAGCCACCTCTGCGTTATCAGCAGAATAAAAATGGCACAAGATCACTGAAAATGAGTTTAATTTTTTGATGAAGTAAGTTTCAACTACGCATGAAAACAGAAATACAAGACACTTATATGTCTCTTTAAAATATTAACTATACATTTTGCCTTTCTAGCTCAAATTTTTAAGTTTTCTTCTACTTGTTCTCAATTTCATCTAATTCAAATAAGAATAACAACAAAAAAAAAGTCATGGCAGATTGGGTCTCCAAGTAGCTGTTAATTCCCTGTGCACCCACGACAGACACTGCAGCACAGACCAGGAGTGAAAGAACTTCCACGATTACTACAGACCAGAGCACTAGGGTGAACACATTCGTTTCTGCTGCTTCCCCACTGCATTGCCCCTGATTAGGTTCTGCCCTGACCAGAATGGGAAAGAACAGGCAGAAAGGTGATAAAAGCTCCAAAAAACTGGCAGTTAACTCCTCCAAGGATTTTACCTTGCACTGTGCAAACCAGAAATGAAACCAATTATTTCTACTTTTTTCTGTAATGGTATCTACATATGCTTTTATATTGACTAGTTTTATTCAACTATGTAAGACTGACTGTTTTCAAAGAAACTTGCAAAAGTTATCTGTGGATGCTTCCAAGAGAGAAACTCATGCACATATTGATAAGGTTGCAAAAGATCTTGAAAAAAAATATGTCTAAATTAGCGGCTTACATATTAATTCTTTATAAAGAGAATAATCTTTCACTATTGTGCTATCTTGAGGTCCGCTATTAGTTATTCAATGCAGGCTCAAATTTTAATTTCCTTGTGACTGTCCATGCATTTAATACAAATGAAACAGTCTTCACAGTCTATTAATCATCGGGCCAGTTACAAGAAAGCTCTAATTAGCTATGTCTAAACGTACCTATCAGGTTATTAAGTTAATTAAGAGACATTCTATCTTGTCCTGTAATAGATAACAGTAACTACATGACAATCACAGGTTTCATTTTTAACTATATAGACTTCTACAGACTATGGCAGAGCACACACAGATTTTGGCTGTATTACGCTCTCATTTCATGATAAATTAGATGTTTAAAGTAGGTAGAGTGAATTGCCCTCAGAAGAGGTCTCTCTTGACCAAACAAAGAGAATAGGTGGCTTAGCTTAAACTACAAGGTTTTGATGGGGTGCAGTTCCAAATTCAGACAATTAAATACAGCAGTATTCACATCCATGCCAGTGATGGTCTCGTCAATGAAGAAGTCATGGGAGCCTAGAGAGCTCCCAGTTGACTGGCCAGTGTATGGCCACTTAGGACAAGAAGAACTGCTCTTCAGGCTCCACCGACTGTATTAGTTATATACCCATTGACTGCAATGGATGTTGGACACTTAAAAGACAGACAGACATCCAAATTCAGTTTTGCTAATCGCTTCATACAGGTTGTAAGTGAAGAAGATATAAAACTGAGTTGAAATCTGTGGAAGGAAAGTAAGTTTACTAAAGTAAACTAAAGTAGTGATTGACATATTTTTTTCCTTAGAATTTGTTTTTGATTTCTGCATTATTAAAGCAAGGAAATAATAATAAGAAAAAGTATATTTCAACATTATTCTTACTGGCTAAAATAAAAGTCTGCAATTCTTAAATGAGAGCAGAAAGGTAAACATCACTGCTTCTGCCACAAAAGATTATTCTCAATGAAAATAAAGGAAAAATACTAGCATTGTTCGTTCGGAAAATAGCTAGGCTTTAAATCTTCTTGAGCAATTCAGAATTAAAAGAAGAAAATCACATTATAGACTATAATAAAAATGGACTTCAACATATTTTAGGCATTCATGAAATTATCACCACATCTCCCTATGAAACAAATTATTCAGCACAAAGCAAATATCCACAGAAACACAATTCACATGCCTGCAGCAGACTAGTTGTTTCAAATTAGCCAAGGTAAAAAAACAGTTGAGAGTAAACCTCTATAGGATTATTAGTCCTATTCAGCTTGTTTGTGAAAACATCTGGACTTTTACCTGGAACTGACTAAAAACTTTTGAACCAAGTCTTTGTTTGTTCAAAGTCTCAACACTAGCCATTCCCATCATTTCAGGTAGCTGTGCAGCTAAATTTAATATCACAAAACTTCAAGGCACAGCATGGAACACACCCCACATAGAAATTACTTTGGACATACAATTAAAGTAAAAAGCTAATATCCTGGCCCAGATATTACATGCAAGCAAAATTCTCCTAAATGCAGCACTGGTAGAGACAATATGTACAATATGGGACGAGTGGTGCTGACATTTTCAGAGTACTACGATTCAAAGTCTCAAACTGCTTTTTTCACATCTCAGATCAGAGTGATATCAAGCTCTGATATACAAAAGTGGCGAACTACTGGTTCACACAATGAGAATAATAAAGGGGAGTCTGAAAACAAGCATCATTGAAGAGCTAACAGTCCTCCTTAAAATGTTAATCTAATAAATATCTGTACCAATTTAATAACAGAAGACCAGTCTCTGGGGCTATGTTACTAACCATATGTTTACGGAGTCCCTGGAGAGCAGAATGGAAACTACATATTCTTTCCATTGTAAAACTTTCGCGAATCACATAGTCAGTTCCCCAAGTTGGATGAACTACCCTTATCTGATGTAAATCCAACGCATGTATGTAACAGTTGACAAAATATGCATTATCGATCTTACTTAGTGATCCAGAAACAAAAGTCTTTTACACAGGTGACGTCTGGTGGACAACTTCAAATAGGTGAGCTCATGACAGTTTGTCCAACCCCACCATGCACATCATAATGTGAAATATCTACCTGAACTCGTTGCTGTATTTTTTCAGTTATACATCCTTTGAGGAATTTTTCTCTTATCCTATTCTTGATATTTCAAATATAATTGTCCCAAATGTATTATAACACTTCTGAGTTCACAAAATAGCTTCCAACACCTTTGTTCTCAGGCTTTATTACTGAAAGATTTTCTTTCTTCCCATTGAATCACCAGGATACTCTAAAACGTTAACTACTTCTCAGCAAAAGAACAAAAGGCTAAAGACATGCTCTCAGATATGCCAAGCATGTCAACACTGATCACGTTTTCTCCCACAGTTTTCAAATCACAATGATTT